AAGGATTATCATGCACTTTAGCAATTATCATGCACTTTAGCAAGAGTCAATGGGTGGAATCTCATGTTTGTGGTATGAGTTTCCTTCCCCTCCCCCAGGCTGGCTTCTCATTTTGGGCAGCTAAATGGCAGATAGGTACACAGCTCTCTCCATGTTCAAAATATTAGTAATTTTATTTGGTCAATGCAGGTGGGTGAGAATTTTTTATGGATTATTATTTGAGAAACACTTTGCCATGGAAAAAAATTGAGATATTAAGGATGTGAACATGTTTGATTTTAAATGTAATGCCAGTTAAGATCTAAAGTTTCCTAAGAGGACTTTCATCTGTCAGGCACTTCATCTGTCATGCACTAAAAAATTAATTTATGGAAAGCGAAACGGTGTGCATGAGTGTGTGTGAAACTAACCTCATTTACATTTTAAAGCACTCTAGCCTGAATGAATATCCACTTTTGTCCACAAATAATATGAGTGCATGCGTACTGTTCAAAAGTTTTCAAAGTTTTTTTTTTTTTATCCTGTTAGAAATGGATCCCAATACGTCTAATCCTGGACCAAAACAAAAACGCAGGTCATACGAAGCTGGTTTCAAACTTAAGGTTGTGTCAAGAGCAGAAGAGAGCAATAACAGTATTGCAAGTAGGGAATTTTGTGTTGACGAAAAACAAGTGAGGGACTGGCGGAAAATGAAAGCTGACTTGGAAAAGATTCCAAAGGCAAAAAAAGCTCGACGTGGTTTAAAGCCTTCATATGAAGCTCTAGAGACTGAATTGTATAAATGGGTTATGGAGTGTCGTCAAAATGGTTACTGCGTGACACGTATGGGAATTCGCTTACGTGCCCTTCAAATGGCTAAAGATGACAAATTAAAAGCACCAGGCATTAAAAATTTTGTTGTGTCAGCAGGATGGTGTACCCGCTTTATGAATAAACATGGCTTATGTTTGCGGCAAAGAACAAAGATTTCACAGAAGTTGCCAAAAGACCTTGATGAGAAAGTGATGTCATTCCATTCATTCATCATAAAACAAAGAAGGATCCATAACTTTGACCTGGGAGATATTGGGAATATGGATGAAACACCTATGACCTTTGATCTTCCTAGCAACAGAACTGTGGCAAGTTTGGGAGAAAAAACTATTTTACTCAGAATCACAGGAAATGAAAAAAACCATTTCACAGTCGTTCTGTCATGTTTGGCTAATGGAACTAAGCTGCGGCCTGTCATTATTTTCAAAAGAAAGACCTTGCCTAAAAAGGTCAAATTCCCACCACGAATTACAGTGCGTGCACATATTAAAGGCTGGATGGATGAAGACGGAACAAAAAAATGGCTGGAAGAAATTTGGAATGGACGTCCAGGAACAGCCTTAAAGAAAAAAACATCATTGCTAGTTTGGGATATGTTCAGAGCCCACACATCTGATGACATTAAAAAATTGGCAAAGTCTTCTCAAGTTACTTTGGCCGTTATTCCAGGTGGGCTTACATCTGTATTGCAGCCCCTAGATGTGTGTTTAAACAAACCTTTTAAAGACCGTGTACGAAAAATGTGGCATGAATGGATGTCATCTGGTCAAGCCCGATTGACAAAAGCTGGAAATCTGATGAAGCCCGACATAGAATTAATAGCAAAGTGGGTTCGTGATGCATGGGAAGAGATTCCAGAGGACATGGTGCAATGTGCCTTCAAGAAATGTGGCATTAGTAATACTATGGATGGCAGTGAAGACAGCGCTTTGTATGAGAACGACAGCAGTGATGGTGATGACTGCGAACTCAGTGATGACGACAATGTCTATGCTGATAGCCTCACACCAGATGAAGTTGAAGCTCTGTTTGGACATACAGATGATGAGGAGGAATCCAGTTTTGAAGGATTTTAACTCTTGTGTTTTAGCTTGGTTGCTGATTGAGCTAAGGTTTTTGTACTTTTAAAGTTATTGTTGATACCATATTGGTTTTGTTGGCTCCCTTTCCAATTACAGAGCTAGTTTACTGTTTTTCTTTGAAATAAATATTCAAAAACATTTAACCTACTGATGCCTCAATTAATGTAATTTTATTGGTATCTATTTTTATTTTTGAAATTTACCAGTAGCTGCTGCATTTCCCACCCTCGGCTTATACTCGAGTCAATAAGTTTTCCCATTTTTTTTGTGGTGAAATTAGGTGCCTCGGCTTATATTTGGGTCGACTTATACTCGAGTATATACGGTAAATTAAATCCAATATCCTGTATTAATTAACCAATATTTATCTATATTTTTTACAAATACCTTATTTACCTTTTAAACAAGAATATAAAATCTTAAGACTATTACAATTAAATTATTTACCAATCAACTAATTAACTCATTAATAAGTTCAACTATTAATTAATTCAAATATTTTCTATTAACATCAATCAGTAATCAAGCAATTTATCAAAATCGTATTCTTATTCAGATTTATATTGGTCTCAGATCATACACTCTGTTTATTCACATTCTTTTACGTCAGTTTCTTTTTTCCTTTCAGTCTCTAATGTCAGCTGCAATAAAAGCAATTGTCTCAATCTTTAGTCATTTCTTCCTCTACAACCCTCTGCAGTTAATTTCCTTCTCATTCCAGATTTCACTTGTCACAACTCTAATTTTCTTAATATATTCTGCTCTCCAATCTAACCACTTTTTGTTCAATCAAACTAGTTATATCCTCTTCCTTCCAGATTCCTCTTCTCTCACCATTAGATAGCTATTTTCCCCTCAAACAACTGCCCTTTATCTCCGAGATTCACTATTCTAGAGTCCAAAATCTCCCCCTCTTCCAAAATCACTTCCTCCTCTAAAATCATCTCCTCTTCCTCTTCTAAAATCACACTCCACCTTCACAATGCCAAATCATCAATAATCCATTTGATGCCGCCACCATTGTTGTTCCGATCTTTCCTTCCGATCTTCCTCATCTATTGAGATCGCTGCGACCTCAGATCCACCATTATAAAGTGACAGGACATTCACACGTCGGAGTAAAGAGGTTTCCTTACAGTGAAGCAGATATTCACCTTCCGGCTTGTTACTGCTCAGGCTTCCCCTTTATTTCACAAATCCCTCCAGGATTTGTGTTCTCCTCAAGGAGGCTTCCAGATGTGCTAATTAGGATTCAGAGAATGGAGCTCATTCTCCTATCTCCACATTGCCACGGCGCCGCAACTGGAAGTTCTATACTACTTTTTTTTTAATGGGAGACTCTTTCATTACATCAACCTAACAAAACATTGTAGGTGCCGGAAAAGACAAGACATCATGATAAAATTGAAGAGATCCTTATGGACCATGAAGATTCTGCAGAATAAACAAGTAGGTTTACAGTTTAGAAAATGGATAGGAGAATATATAACATTTCTCATGTTAGATGCTCAGTGACTATGTGCTCTGAATGAATGAGATTACAGAAAGATAATCTTAATTACACTTACTAAAATTACTAGGTTTAAACAAAATAATTGCTATTCGATCATACGTATTTTATAGACATACATATCCATTAACTTTTTCCTTTCAGGGAAACTTATGTTATATGAAAAAGTAAGAAATAGAAAGAAAAATTACAGAAATTAAATTAGAAAAGAGAATGGTTAAATTTAGTTTACACTAAGCCCATTCACTATATCTTTCCAGAATTTTCTGTCCTTGCAATTATGTTATTTCCTTCAGTTTTTCTCTTTTAGAACTTATTTGATCTAGTCTTGATCATTAATATTTTTGGCATTTCACTAGTTTGTTGATACTTGCCTTTGCTATGTTTGGAAAGCATTAAACTTTAAAGAAATGAAATACATAAAAACTCACCATTTTTCTATAGACAAAAAATCCTCACAAATCAATTAATTTTAAAAAATATATTACAGAAATATGAAATTGATATTGATATTTAAAAAAAATAACAGTCCTATGTTAAAAAAAAATTGAGAATATGTTACAATTGTACTCCTAATGAACAAATAAGTGTTAATGAAGAACAAGTATATCATTATGTGGATCTTTAATTTAATCAAGGTTCTTCCTACATAAAGATACCTGAAGTCATAGTACAACACTATGTATTCAGGAGTTTCAATCAAGTTAATGTGGATTGTTCTCATAGATCTACAACACTATTGACTTGCTAACATCACAGAATGGGGCGGGTAAATTTTGATTATGTTCTTAGAGGTAGCAGAGTTCTTTCCTAAACACCACCACATGCTCATCCTATATCTTGGGACCAGCAGCAAGTTAGTCAATTAATGGGAACGTAGTGGCGCAGCATGAATGATGCTGGAACTGCAGGTCATAAATAGCCTGCATTCCAGCAGTTCAAGCCAGGTTCCACAAGATAGGGTGAACTCCTGCCTCTCATTCCCAATCTTCTGCCCATTCAGCAATTTGAAAGAATGCCATACTGCAAGCAAATAAATGGGTACCACTTTGGTGGAAAAACCTAGCTGCATTTGTATGTGAAGCTAGTGCTGGACCTGGCTGGATATAAGGCCACACCATACAAGGCAAGGCAAGGCAAGACAGCAGAGAAGCGGGGAAGAACCAGCAACCTGAGTGCACTAAACAGCTGTTTAAGCAAGTTCACTCCTGCGGTACATTAAGAATGCCAAACAAAATGGTCTGTAAATTTATGAAGAATGATGATGTTTTTATGTTATGTTTTATGTTTTATGTGTTTTTATTTGTTGTTAAAATCAATAAAACTTTTACCAAAAAAAAAAAAAAGAAAAGAATGCCAAACAAAATGAACTAGCAATTTAGGTGTCAGGACTGCATTGTGTTTACCATAGATTTCCCTGACATTGAATACCATATGCTAAATAAATAAATAGTTAATTAATGAATTAGTATGTAAGTATTCATTCAAAAACATATATAATAAAACAAGAAAAAACAGTCCATTTAATGAGACAGATGTGTTAATACAAAAACTCACAACTATAATTTTACGCTAGAGGAAACATTTTTACTTACCACTGCTCCACCACTTTTTGCCATTGATTATGTAGCTGTCTCCATCTCTCTGAATGTTACACTTCATATTGGTGGCATCACTTGATGCAACATCAGGTTCTAAACCAAACATCAGAATTTAGCAACAGCAAACAGAAAAAATCTTACAGATTTTTCTAAACATCAAGAAGGATTGCTAGGCATGATATCAGAGATAAACTTCCAAAGAAGAGATAGGGTTTTTCCCCTTTCTTGTCTCATTATCCTCTCTAAACGAGTGAGAGAATGTGTGAGTGATGAGATTTGTATTATATCTGCCATTTATTGGATTTCAGATAATTACAGCGCCTATCTATAAATTGCAATACAAATTCAACATTATTATTTAATATAACAATTCCAATTCAACCGGCAATTAAATTAACCATAAAGAGTAATAAACTATAATTCATTAGCTGGAATAGTACCTGTAGTGGTACTTTAGGTGGTCCTTGACTTATGACAATAATTGGCCCCAAATCTCAGTAACTGAGCAAAGCAATCCCATGACATTAACAAATGCTAACATTTCCCCCTCTACTCTGGAGCCCTTACAAGCTTCCAGAAGGGAGGAGAAAATGCTAGGGAGGACTAGCATTTTGTAAAGCTCAGAATATCCTTTAACCAGCATTTTTTTCAGATTTGAGGTCTATTCTTCCAGCAAGAGGATTGTCACTTGGGGGATCAGACCTCAAATCCAACATCCCATCCACTCACAATCTTTCTTGTCAGTTTCCCTATTGACCTATGGAAGCTAGCTGAGAAGATAGCTTTTGCATAGTTTAAATTTTTAATGTTTTAAATTTTAATTGCTTTTCTATTTATCCTTTTATGTTATATAAGTTGCCCAGCATTGTCCTATCAGGAAAATGAAAAAATTAAATTAAAAAATTAAATTAAATTGCAAATGACAATCACATGATCACAGCACGCTTGGCAACTAGTTGTAAATGCAAATAGGTTGCCAAGAGTCAGAAATCTGATCATGGGACCAGGAGGGCAACAGTAATGTTTTAATGAAAGCTGAAGGCTTTGTAAGTCATAAGGAATCTATTCCAAGCCCATCATTTATTATGGTGGTGTAATCCTTTCCTTCAAGGGAAAGCTACTATCAGATCCGTGTATCTGTCACCAGGACGCCAACACAGGAGAGCGAGGGAACCAGAAAATGCGAGAACCCGAGCTACCACCCCGGATTCAGCTGAGAATGATTGGGCAGCGGGACAAGCTGAAGAACCAGCAGCCATACCAGGTACACGACCCCTAACCGCCCCAGAACAGGGGATTAACCCTGGCCAACCCAGAGACATACAACTGCAAAGGAAGGTCCCACCCCTGGGAGTAAAATTCGATGGAGACCCCCAGAAACTGGGATTTTTCCTGGCGCAAGTCCTCGCCTACATGCAATAATACAGGCAGAATTTCCCAACACAGGGATCCTGACTATGAGTTGTCACCCTGGCCCTTGAAGGGCAGCAGACAGATGAATGGTGATGCTCCACAACATCAATGTCCCAGAATTAAGGAACCTCAACCGCTTCATGACGGCCCTACACAACCGCTTCGAAGACCCTCTCGCCAATAGAAAAGCCCCAAACCTCATCAGTTATAAAGTAAGGCCGTCGCCCGGTAGCCGAATACACCGAGGAATTTCGTGACCTGGCCGGCCGAGTCGACTGGCCAGAGGATATCCTAGTCTGTTGGTTCAAAGATGGGATAAATCAGTGGTTCCCAAACTTTTTGGGTCCACTGCTCCCTTGGTGCTACAAACTCATCCTTGGTGCCCCCCACCCAGGGTGGGATTCAAATTTCTGTGGGTGTGGCCTAATTTGAGGGTGTGGTTTGCTGGTCACATGACTGGGTGGGCGTGGCTTGCTGGTCATGTGACTGGGTGGGCGTGGCCAGGTGACTGGCAAACCAAATACAAGTGGTCCTCACTTAATGACCGGTTGTTTAGCAAGTGTTCTAATTTATGACTGGCCTCCCCAGAGCTACTTGACCAGTTTTTGGAGTTTTGTCAGCTTTAGATCAGGGGTCTAAATCCCACCACTGCCTGTGTGTGAGAGAGAGAGGGAAAGGGAGAGGTTGGATCAGATCTCTCTCTCTCTCTCTCCCACCAACACCAGAAAGCCACCATCAGTCAAAATTCATATTAGTGGTCTCCGGGATTTAAAATTATGAGTTTGGTGGCCCCTGAGGTCCAAAAGTTTTGCGACCCCTGATCCAAACGGATGAGGCTGAGAGAGGGAAAGAGAGAGAGAAAAGCAAGAGAGAAAGAGTTAGAGAAAATAAAGAGAAAAGGGAAAGAAAGAAAAAGGGACAAAGAAAGAGGGGGGGATGGAAGGAAGGGAGAGAAAGAAAAAGAAATAAAGAAGGAGGGAGGGAGGGAGGAGAAAGATAATGAGATATCTATTCTAGTCCAATCACCTGCTCCTGCAGGGTTAGAAGGGAATGTGTGTGTGTGTGTGTGTGTGATTCCTTATAATTTACCAGTACATTTTGGTTTTGCCTTCTTCAGAATTGGCACTGTAATACATTGGGGAATAGTACTTTTTAGGGTGGAGATCTGGTCCAATGGATCCTGTTTAAAGCCTCAACAAAATGTGAGATCTTCCTGATAGTCTTGACCATGTTTTGTCCACAAAACCTTTAATAGAAGCCAAAGAGGTTTTAATGTGCTGGCAAAGATGTTTCAATGTGGAAAAGGGCCTCAGTCTAAACTAGGCCTCATTCAATCTGATGCATCAGGTCTCTCTCTTTCTCTTTCTCTCTCCCTCCCTCCTTCCCTCCCTCCCTCTCAGACTGGCTTTGCTCTACTTTCCTGATGTGCCTGCGGGGCCGGCGTTTCGAACATGGATGGATGGATGGATGGATGGATGGATGGATGGATGGATGGATGGATGGATAGAGAGAGAGAGAGACAGACAGACAGACAGGCAGGCAGGCAGGTAGGTAGGCAGGAAGGCAGGCAGGCAAACAGACAGACCTTTTGGATGGATGGATGGACAGATGGATGGACAGACAGACAGAATGCGACAGCGACGGCACTTTGGGAAAGCGGTGGCAGCGGCTTTTCCCAATGTGCTGCTGCATTCGAGGCACCGGTTCTGGAGCCATTACTACAGTCAATGGGTGAACCTTCAGGGCCGACGCCTCGAACGCCCCCCTGCCACCTCTTAGTGGCAGAGGGGGGCTAAGAGGCAGCAGGGGGGCATTCGAGGTGCTGGCTGGCCCTGCAGTTTCATCCACTGATTAGCACTGCTCCGGAGCCATCGCCTCCAATGCAGAAGCAGTAGCATGTTACATGCTACCACGGCCGCGTTCGACGCGCCGCCCCCTGCCGCCTCTTAGCGCCCTTCTGCTGGCCCCCTTGGGGATGCTAAGAGGTGGCAGGGGGGCGTTCAAGGCGCCAGCCCTGCATGTTCACCTGTTATGTCTCACCTATATTCACAAGTGAGAATACAGAGTTCCACAGTTCAAAATATTCAAACAAAACAAAACCAGACTAAAAAAGGGTTAACAGTACTATATTCCAGTCCTTGGCAGACTTCCCAGAATCTGTCTGATAATTCAGAATGTCCATAAATTACAAAGGCCGCTCCACACGTATCCTTTCGACACATCACACTTTGCTTCCAAGCAAAGTTTGAGAATCAGCACGCCTCCTTAAATCACCTGGATGGGCGTGTCAGTCTCTCTAATCAATGTCTGGCTTGACGCCTCCCTTCAGATTGACGTTTCAGTCTTCTCCTAGTTCTAGCGTCAAGCCACGATCTGTCAGTTTCCCCACTCGAAGCCTCTGACTCATTTTGTGGATCAGTTGCTGGCATGAGCGAAGTCGAAGGTTCTGGGGAGGATTGTCTCTGCGACAATCTCTCATCCTCCTGGCTCACATCTGTGTCCTCTAATAATTCAGTCTCCACATTCACAGCAGGCTCCAGCCTTCCATCTTCAGAGTCATTAGAGTCAAAACTCCCAGCAGGATCGATCCTTCTAGTCACAACATTGACTGTAGCACCGCTCTGGAGCTGGCGCCTCCAATGCGGAAGCGGTGTCACGTTACATGTCGCCACGGCCACGTTCAACGTGCCACCCCCTGCCGCCTCTTAGTGCCCTTCTGCTGGCCCCCTTGGGACACTAAGAGGTGGCAGGGGGACGGTGCATTGAACGCTGCCGTGGCAGCACATAATGTGCCACCACTTCCGCATTGGAGGCGCCAGCTCCAGAGCGGTGCTACAGTCAATGGGTGAACTTGCAGGACCAGTGCCTCGAATGCCCCGAACTAAATCCATTGGTATTGAAAATCCAAAACCAAGTGCTATGTTAAAGTGGACTGACCAATGTCAAACAACGTTTGATAAGCTAAAAAATCTGTTTGCAAAAGAGCCAGTATTGAAACACCCAGGTACAACTCTACCATTTATCATTCAAGCGTATGCCAGCGATGTAGCGGTAGGAGCTGTTTTATTGCAAAGAAATAAAGAAGGTAATTTACAACCATGTACGTATACATCTAGGGAATTTAGTCCAGCTGAACGAAATTGGGCGATTTGGCAGAAGGAAGCCTTTGCGGTTCACTGGTCATTACTGAACTGGAGACATTTACTAGAAGGAAGTTCACAACCATTTGAGGTGTAGACCGATCATAAAAATTTAGAAGCACTCCAAAATCCATGAAGGTTGTCACCAAAGCAAGTTCGCTGGGCAATCTTTTTTAAAAGGCTTAACTTCATGCTAAAATACGTCCCATCAGGGGAAAACTTTATGGCAGATGCTTTGTCAAGGCTTCCTCAGTATAATAGTGTACGAGAAAATATAATTCAACCATTGATACCAACTACTAATAGAATAGAATCTTTACAATCTACAATACTTACAACCAACTTACCTACAATATTAGCAGAAGATGAATGGTTAATAAATAATAAAAATCAAATAGAAATGAAATATGGGATCGTTTGGCGGGGAACTAAAATATATGTACCGAACACATTAAGTACATCGATAGTATTAAAAAAATGTCATGATGTTAAACAGGCAGGACATTATGGGTTCCTAAAAATGTTACATTTAGCAAAACG